ATGTGTGTTAGGGATGAAGCCTAGGACTTTAGTTCCCACAGCTGGACTTCTTTTCAAGTTCCTTTCTTTTTAATAAAATATATATATTTACATATATAATTAATACATTTACTCTAAGATATTATAAATAATTTTATAGAGATATGACAAATATAATTAAATTCTTCTCCAAGAAGAAGGGTTTTGTTGGTTGGTTTTTTAGAAATTTGAACTTGCTGTGGAGAGGAATGATACTTGGCAAAAGTGTTTCTTCTTTCATCACTCACTATGTCATTTTCCTTCAGCCAACTTTAAAAAATATCTAATAACATGAAAAAATAAATTCTATGGCCAATGAATGGAGATAGGCCATGCAAATCTAACGTGTAGTGGCAGGAACTAAATTTGTTTTGTTTATCTTTGCATTCATCAACTGCCAGTCCCCAAAACAAGTGAGCATGTGATCAAAAGTCCTAAAATGTGCTGTTGTTGGAGGAAAAGGAGGTGAGGTGGGGCAGGTTCGCAAGGCCATATTATGAAGGGTCTAGACCTACCAGCTAAGGAATTTGGACTTTATCCTGAAAAGAAAGGGACCTGTTGAAGCCTTCTGTCATCTTGTCTTCCTAACTAGATTCTAAATTCCATAAAATCAGGGTCTGTTGTTCATTTTTGTATTCTTTATAATGTCTGGCCATGGTTCTGGAACAGGTAGGACAGAAAGTAAGTGCTGATTGATCTCTAAGGCAGTGATAATCTCTGACTCTTGCATGCTTGATTCAGCCATATTACCAAAATGGATGAGTCAGAGCACAGAAAGTTTTGGAATGGAGGAGTGGGGGTCTTATTGCATCCTGGACATTGTGCCTTGGCACCCCCAGTTATTGTCTAATTTAATCTATGTCACTCTCCTTGCTCAGAAGCTGCAAATGGCCTCTGAGTGCTTTGAGGATAAAGAACCAAAGTTCTTAGTGGCCCTCAAGGCTGCTGTTCACTGTCTGCAATGTTTTTGTTTTTGTTTTTTAAATCTATTAATTCCTAGCTGTCTCTCAACTCTCACTTTCCTTCCCTAGAACAGCCCTCACTGCCCCACCTTTCCCCCAAATAAGTGGGCCCTTGAAGCTCAGCTTCCCATGTGATCATCATGTGATATTTGATTTCCCTTCTGCCTGCTCAAGAATTTGAGCTCTCTAATACTATTTTGTTCTCTGTATCTAGCACAATGCCTGACATTTAGTAGAAACACTTTTTGGTTGCATGAATGAATCCTTGAGACAACTGTCAGACATATACTATCACTAATTTTTCAGGAGAAGAAATTGAAGTTCAGAGGTTAAGTCACTTGTTCAAGGTTGCTCAACCCATGGAGCCAGACCTGGAACTCAGGGATGTCTGACAACAAAATCCTCCTCCTTCTGCTAACAGACAGCATGCGTTTTCATATTTGTATGTGTCGTGATTCGGCCTAACTGTTGAATGATCGATAGAATGAACAGGCTCTGATGCTTAAGAATGTGGGCTCTGTAACCAGACAGTCTAGACTCAAGTTCCTCCTCCACTTTTGTTACCTTAAATAAGTTACTTAATCTCTGAATTCAGCTTCCTGGAAAATGAGGTAATATTACCCACTTAATAGGATTGCTGTGAGGATAAACTAAATTAATTCATATAAAATTCTAATACTAAGTACACAGAATATGTTCACTAATTGCTAGTCGTTACTGTTACCAGTATCCATGAATTCCTTCCCTTTTTTTTTTTTACTGTAATCTAAAATTATATCCAGAGACCCTATAGCAATTTTTAATTTATTTTATGGAAATTCACTTCTTACATGAAACCACCTGCTCCTAAGTCCTTATTCAACTGTGTTTTCAATTTTAAATTGGTTATTTCTGTGTCACCTCAGAAGCAGAAGTTTTTTTTACCTATAACAGAAAAATGTGGTAATATTAAAACCCTTTGCTGTGAATATTTTGATTTTAGGATTCACATTTTTTACACCTCAGCTCAGTTAGCAAAAATACAATGCCATAGTGTAGTAAAGGATGCAGCATTAATAATACTGTTTGCTCTCTTACAAATCACAAACCTTTCCCCAAACTAGGCATGAGATTATCAAACTAATAGATAACTAACCTGACCTTCTTCCCCCCAAGTAATCCTAATTGTTGGGAAGTGATTTATGTCACCATTATTTTCCTCATTCATCAATAGATGAAAGCAGGTGTGTGACTTACAGGAAATTAAAAAAGAAAGGAAGGAAGAAAAATAATTACTTCACATATATTATAGTTGCATGGCAAAATTGTAACATTTTTAGCATATTCCCTCATAATGGAACTTTCTCTAAATATTGTTCTTTCCTTTGTTGTTCATTGTTGAAATTCTTAACTAGCTTTTTTGTAGTTAGTATATAATAGCATGTGGGTGTGTTTTAGTGACTTAACTGTTATCCTTTTTTTTTTTTTTTTTTTTTTTTGTATTATTGATTCCAGAGAAATGAACGGGGGAGGGGGGGGAGGGAGAGAAGAAAAGAGAAAGAAACATCTATCATCAGCCGATTCCTCACCCCCCCCCCCCCCCCACACACACACACACACACCCACTGGGGATGGAACCAGCAACCTGGGTATGTGCCCTGACCAGGAATGGAACCTGCCACCTTTTGGTGTACAAGATGATGTTCCAACGAACTGAACCACACCAGCCAAGGCTGTTTACCTTGTTAAAGAAGATTTGTTTAAATGTACAGATGTCCCCACTGCCCCCCCACCCCCCCAATCAGGCATTGCTGCATGCTTAATTGGTGTTTTTAATCCTCACAAAAGCCCTATAAGAGAAATAATATGCCCACCCCAGAGATGAGGAAGTAGAAGTTTAATGAGACTAAGAGCTTCCCTGGGAAGCCGGCATGTATCGCCCTGAGTGGCGAGGCACTGGGTTAATAAGACAGAACATCAGTGGATAATCAGAAGCAAGCTTGGCAAAGTACATGGAAGACCTTCAGGGCCGGCTGAGGAATGCATGATTCATTTTGTAGGTCGTGTGGAATGAATGAAGTTTTTAAATTGGGATCTCAAAACAGCACAGGTGCTCCTGTTTTTTAGGTGGTGGTTTTAAAGTGTGGTCCCCGAACTAGCTGCAACGGCAACACTTGGAAACTTATTAGAAATGAAAATTCTTATTCTTCCTCTCACCTGCTCAGTCCTAAACACTGGGCGATCAGTGATGCAAGGAGTCCTCTGGGTGATGCTGGTGCTGGCTCAAGTTTGAGAATTCACTCCTTAATGAGTTCGAGCCTTGCTGTGGAAGGAGTGCAGGGCAAGGAGGGACACGTGGAGGCTATTGCCAAAAGCCGAGGGAGGGGTTATTAGAGCATAAGTTTGGATGGTTTCATTGGAAATGAAAAAAGGAAAATCATGAGACATTTTAGGAAGGAATAATAGGACTTGATGATGAAATGGGGTATGAGTATGAGATACGAAGCCAGTATTCATGCATGGCAGAATTGCCTATGTACACCAAAGGCATTCAAAGTGGGGACTGTTTATACTCCTCAAGAATCTAAGCCTAATTGTGCATTAATTTATAGCATCTTTTTATAAGCCTTAACACCCACCGATCTGCCACGTTCAACTAGATAACTTTCCCTGTAGAATAATAAAGGGCCAAATGCTCAATACCGCCTGTGGATTGAGTTATCAACTGCCAAGAACTTTCCTCTAAGCACTTTATATTCATTATCCCATTGTTGTTACTCATTAGTTATGGATGTTTATAAATTGCCTTTCCTCGGTGTCCAATCTAAGCTGCACACCACTGTAAAGTTAACGTTTCCAGACACTGGTCTGAGAGGCCAAGAGTCTGGGCTCTGGAGTTAGACAGCTCTGGATGAAAACCCAGCCATTCCTTTACCAGGTGTGTGGTCTTGAGAAAATTACTTACCCAGTCTTCTGCCTCAAGTTCCCTTGACTGTATTAAACAGGGATTATTATTATTACAATGAGGATGTGATGATGAGTGGAACTCTTAGGGTTGCTGTGAGACTAAATGAGAACATGTTTGCACCATGCTTGGCAGGAAAGGTACTGAATAAATGTCAGTGGAATTTACAGCGATGAAGATGTCACTCCCTTGCTCAGAACCTTCATGGGCTCTCCTTTGTCAGGACAATTATCCTCTCAGCCTGGCATTTAAGACTTTCCACAAACTGGTTTCTCTACCTCTCAAAGCTTTTGTGTGATGATGCTTTGCATAATCCCAGTGTTTCAACCAAGCTGTCATGTGTTCCCCTAACACACCAAGTGTGTGACCCTACCCCTGCCTTTGATTCTGTTCTTTCTCTCCTCTAATCACATCTAAATCCTAAAGGGCCCAGCCTGATACTCAGTGTTTATGGAGCCATCCCTAGCAAACCCTGATCTGTAATATGATGAATCCTTCCAAACCCTAGCACCTATTGCCTTTACTGATCAATGGGCTCTCGCAGCAGTGCACATGGCTCAGGATACTTTAGTCCATCCTTCTGCCCACTTCCCGTACCCTTCAGTAAATGCAGTGCCTCATCCCTAGTGCTGTGCTTGGTGCCAACCTCCATGCCAGGATGTGCTTTCTTTTTCTTTTCTTTTTTTAAATATATTTTATTGATTTTTTTTTTTTTTTTTACAGAGAAGAAGGGAGAGAGATAGAGAGCTAGAAATGTCAATGAGAGAGAAACATCGACCAGCTGCCTCTTGCACACCCTTTACTGGGGATGTGCCCGCAACCAATGTACATGCCCTTGACCAGAATCGAACCTGGGATCTTTCAGTTCGCAGACCGACGCTCTACCACTGAGCCAAACTGGCTTCGGCAGGATGTGCTTTCTTGATAGTGGAAACATGCACCTTAACTTAGCCTTCTGTTTTTTTCTGAGTTCATTTAAATGTATATTGATGTGTTTGTTTTTTTCTCTCCCTGGTGATGCTGATAACTTCCTCGTAAATTATTTCTGAAATACTAATTATTATTTTTCTTCTCAGGATGAACTTGACCTCACAGACAAACATAGGGAGGCCATGTTTGCACTTCCAGCTGAGAAAAAATGGCAAATATACTGTAGCAAGAAAAAGGTAAGACATACCTTGACTCTATGGTTAAGTGGAAAATTATCATTTTTAATTCCCTTTGCTCTCCTGTGTCACCACCTGTTTATAATGTGCAAACCAGATTGACCATGTTCTGCTGTGGCCTTGGTGCTCCCTTCAGCAAAGAGACAACTCCTTGGATATTGTTTTTGTCAGCGTTTCACTGGACACCACTTTCCTGCCTTGTACCTGTAACGTTTACTCATAATCCTGTACAACTGAGACCCAAAATAACATTGGCTTTCATAATGATAAAGTCCCCACCCCCTAACCCCGCTCTTTATGTAAAATTTTATATATAGGTAGTTTAGGGCTAGTATTGTGGGGTCACATCCTCTATGACCACCTTCTAACAACTTTTCATTTCACCACCTCTAAGGCCTTGTCCTCATGGTAGCTCTCCAGCCATTTCACATTCCTAAGACTGGAGGAAAGGGAAGAGGGAAAAACTTCCCCCTATGCTCTTAGGGACATGTTATGCACATGAATTCCCCTCACCTTCCACTGTGAGCAAATGGCCACACCTCACTGCAAGGAACACAGTCTTTATTCTGGGTGGTGACCCCCACTTAAAAGCTGGGGGATCTCTTACCTTCAGAGAAGTGGAGAGTGGGTATTGGTAGCAAAACCCCTAAAGCTCTTATTTCCTAGCATCCACGGCGTAAGCATTGCCCTGAGGACTGGAGCTCCTGCAGTCAAGTTCAGTCTGCCATCCTTTAAACCCTGGCAGATTCTTAGACTACTCCTATTCCATTTTGGAACCTGCTCATGGCCATCTTTAGCCACTTTCCCTTCTGTTCCAATGCAGACTTGAATCAAGCTGGGTAGCACCCAGGAGAAACGTTATTTCTGTCTAACAGGCAGTGGACACGCTGAGTACTCACTGTTGTCCCAGGGAAATAAGAGCAAACTACAGCAATCCAGTATCTTTTCAAGACATGGTATCAGTCAGAGAAGCCTTTTCTCAGGTGATTGAGGCCTCCATTTGCCCACATGCTGTCTCTTAGCACTTGTCTCCTCTTTGCTGCCTGTGTAACTGGCATGCCACCCTCCAGAGCCATTCTCTTACATGAGTCTGCTGGTGCCCCTCTGCAACCAGACTTGATGTTTTGGCACTGTTTTACTCCTCTCCATAATTCAGCTTCTGATACTTTGAAATGAATGTACCACTGATGAGTGAACCACAAGTTATCATTACGTTAAACTGAACTGTCAACATTTTGAAGCACATTTAATTTTCCACCTGAGCAGTTATACTATGTGTGGGTTTGGTTCCGGGACTCTTGCTGACAGACATGTCCAGCTGTAACTGCTAGTGTGATCTTCAAGCCGCTATGAGATCAGACCAAGTGCAGCCTTACAGGTTCCTGATCAGTCATAACCAGGAAGATGTGTTTGTGAATGAATCTGTCCCCTTCTCCTCTTTTTCTTTGTACACATCTTACCAACTAGAAAACTTCTCTTCTGATGGACTGATTGTCATGACTCAGGAAGCAAATAAAACACATAGAGAATTTTAAAATGAAATATAATGTGCGTGGTTCTGCAAGTGATGTATAGTGAGGTCTTTGGAAAAGGGAACTTTTCACACAGCTGTCCTAAAGACCTGGCCCCTGGAACTGAGAACAAAAAGTCCTGCCGGGACCGGTTTGGCTCAGTGGATAGAGCGTCGGCCTGCGGACTGAAAGGTCCCGGGTTCGATTCCGGGCAAGGGCGTGTACCTTGGTTGCGGGCACATCCCCAGTAGAGGGTGTGCAAGAGGCAGCTAGTCAATGTTTCTCTCTCATCGACGTTTCTAACTCTCTGTCCCTCTCAATTCCTCTCTGTGTAAAATCAATAAAATATATTAAAAAAAAAAAAAAAAAAAAAAAAAAAAAAAAAAAAAAAAAAAAAAGTCCTCAAGTGCCTGTGTACACAGAGGACATTGTCTATTTTGGCTCATCTGAAAGCAGATTTTCCCCCCTCAAAATTAGAAGCAATATGAAGCTGGGACTGAAATATGCACTGGAGGAAAGGAAAGGGCAGGCAAATGGGAGCAGCTCACCGAGGGAGAAGTTTTCTTCTTTCCCAGATTTTATTACACCCTTGACGGCAATTGAAAGTTAATCATGGAAACTACTGCCCCTTAGATTAGAAAAGGCAAACCCTAGAGAATAGTAATGACCTCGGGCTCACAGCTGCTGCTCATTTTTCACTTTCCAGGGGTTTTGCAGTGTGGATATGGATGTGGCCACTGGCTCAAAATCCCACTCTTGATGGATGGATGGCCCCCTCCTGCGCATACCTGGCCACATTGCACAGATCTTTGAGAATACAGTTCTCCTGCTGGCTTCATCCCAGCAGCTTGGATTTCTTATGTGACTCAGCAGTGGCACCCCTGAGGGGAAAAGGCATTTTAACTCTTTGGGGAGTCCCGTGGGCATATAGATCTGCCTCACTTTAAAATGGATAGTAGCAGTTGGTCCGAAGGTTGTGGGTTATTGTTAAGCTGAAAATGGATAGTAGCAATGCTTGACTAAGGATGCTGATTGGAGCTTCTCACACTGCTAAAACTAGACTATCCTTTGGTCTAAAATGGGCCTTTTTGAGCACTTAATAAATCAGGAAATAACACAACTAGTGAGAGAACACAAGCACCTGAGCACCATGGCACGATGTTTGCCTCTCTTCTGAGAATATGCTCTCCTTAGGGACAGGTTGGCCATCTCAGAATGGAGCCGTGGTGGCCATCCTTAATACGGAGGATGGATTTTTTTCCTTGAACCAGCTCATGTAGCCTTTTTAAATCAGGCTTATCACCAGCAAGCCAAACCAAAGGCTAAGGGAAAGCAATCCACCCTTGGCTCCTTCACATTTCCCATCTTTCAAGATTAGAACCCAGGCTCTTACAGACACAGGCTCTTCTCACACAAAGTGAGGGCACCGGTTAAAGGCCCACAAAAGCCAACAGAAACAGACACAGGAGTTGGTGAAAGGCAGGCTTTCTGTTTAAAAGAGCACAGGACTGGGAACTGAAGAGGTGGCCAGGTCTTTCTCAGCCAAGAGCTCTTTTCCATCCAAGAGTGACTGGAGTCCCAGCAGTGGCTATTTGCTTATCAAACTTTGTGTTCATTTCTCAAACTTCTCTAGCTAAGTCTCTGGTTGAAAAACCTATTTCCAGAGCCAAAATGAAAGCAGCATAAGTATTTCTGGGTCTAAAAGAATTAGAAAGAAACTAATTGGAATTTTGCCTAATTGAGTAATCTGGGGGAGAGCAAGAGATGGATGTTGTAGTCTGGTTGAAAGTCCAAACAACTGGACTGGTTGAGCAGCCATGGTTTGTCATATGCAGCAATCCACTGTCACATTTTTTAACTATCATGAAAGGTCCCCAAAAAAGGTCCTGTTTGGTGGGGCTTGCTGGGAGGAGGGGCATATTTTCAAATAGGAAATGTTTGTGGTTCTTATCTTTAAAGGTAATTCCCTTTTTACTTCCAATCACAACATGCTCTTTTGTTTAAGTGAGGTTTTTCCCAGTCTCCAGCCAGAAACTGCATCTGTTAACAATCTTTTGGATTTTAAATTGAAGCTTTTTAAACAATGAACCATCTGACCATGAAAGGCATCTGGCCATGCTGTATTTGCTTATTGTTAACATGATTTTTAAACCCTGAGAAAAGCAAGGAGTAGGTCTTCAGAGAGGAGAAAACAAAATGGTGTATCTACTGTAGTATGTCGACAGCAATCTTATCAGCACAGGCAGGGACCTTTAACCGAAGTTCTTCACAGGAAGCTGTGGCACCGAACCAGTCCTCATAGTATCTAGAACATGCTTTTTCTCCTCTTTAAGCTTCTGAGTTTGCGAAGTAAGTGAGTGGGGCTAGACCCTTTTAGCTATAGTGACATCGGATCTTGCAGCAAAGATCAGGATTTGACAACTGCATCTAATTTTTCCTCCTTTCATTTCTGATCTCTAAAGCCAAGGCTTAAATACAGGCTTTGTTGTCTTCACATTACATCTCTGCATCTTTCAAGGTTTACTTTGGAGAAGGTGAACTTTTTTTTTCTGCTGCTGAGTTTGTTTGATTCAATTAAATCATTCCAGAATCTCACCCAACCTTGTTGCAATTCAGCTTTTGTGATTTGTGCAGAGTACTGATTTTGAAGACATCTAGCACAAGTGACTGAAAATTCAGCCCATGCTTTTCATGCGGTCCCTTTATTTGGTTTGCATATCCTCATTGGATCACCTCCCTGCTTCTCTCCCCAGAAAGGAATTCTTTCACTTAACACACACACACACACACACACACACACACACACACACACACACAGAGAGAGAGAGAGAGAGAGAGAGAGAGAGAGAGAGAGAGAGAGAGAGAGAGAGAGAGAGAGAAATTGCATTGTGTATGGTCATCAGGATGCACTTCCTTCGGATTCTTGAAAGTTGAGGCCCTCCTGCGTTTGGAGTACACGGATGGAGTAGTTTAATCAAAACACAGATTTAAAGGAACATGTTCTAAGTAGTGGAATTAAAGACAAAAGGAATCACCAGTTTCCTCACAAACTATCAAACAAACCAGTTAGAAAAGAAAGAGGAGCTAAGACCGGTTTGGCTCAATGGATAGAGTGTCGGCTTGGGGACTGAAGGGACCCGGGTTCGATTCCGGTCAAGGGCATGTACCTTGGTTGCCGGCATGTCCCCAGTAGGGGGTGTGCAAGAGGCAGCTGATCGATGACTCTCTCTCATCGATGTTTCTAACTCTCTATCTCTCTCCCTTCCTCTCTGTACAAAATCAATAAAATATATATTAAAAAAGAAAAAAAGAAAAAGAGGATAGGTTAGTCCTCTAGTCGCTTCCACTACCCTGAAGAGAAGCTGCAGTGGATCTGCTGGGAGGGGAAGCATAAACGACTGGGCATTTGACCTGGAAGATCTTAGAGGAAGGACAAATTAGACATCCTCTTCTTTCTTCACTGTAGTTATTTCAATAGACATTAGAGTG